TTTTTGTATTCTGCTTTGTTTATATATGATTTATTTTATGTATTTACATCATTTTTATTTGTACCAAGTAATAACATTGTCATATCAACTTCAATTAAGTAATGTAATAATATATACAAGAAAGATGATGATAGAATTCTAATAAAGTTTTTATATTTTACCTAAAGGAAAATAATATTTATAAAAGCGCTTCATGAATATATATGTTGGTTTTTGATGAAAATCTATTTCCTCCAAAAACTTCAATAATCTTTGTGCTATTATACAGAATAGATTTTTAATGTTTTGGTAGAAAAATGGATATTTCAAATATATGTATAACATAGTTAACGATACAGTAAATATATTGGATACCTATTCTTTCTTTATATCTTCTTCTTTAAAAAATACTTTTTTGTAAATTTTTGTTCTTTTTAGACCCCCTGAAATTCACAATTCCTAATCACAATGGTAACAACACGCACCCAAACGAATTAAATAAATATAAATGAAATAATATCGATTTAAACCTTTAAATAAAAAATTTATATCCAATTATATAAGATATTTACAAGCTTCTATAAGAACAGACACCATACTGTATTAAATCAATAAAAAATACCATAAAAAAATTCAATGTTTAATTTTAAAAATAGAATGAAACACTTATAAAAAAAAATTATAAAAGCTATTTAAAATAAGTATTATTAATTCGGCATATCGATAAATAAATATTGCTCGATAAAGCTTTTTTGTTTTGCAACATTTACTATAACTTCATAATATATTTCAAAAAATATCGCATTTATATGCATTCGCTATATAAATCAAAAAATCGATGTATTATGATCGCATAAAATCATCAAATTATATTAAATTTGAATATTTAGAATTTTTATTTTAATTTGCATTTAAGGTGCTAAAATATCGATAAACCATTTCTGGAAATTAACTTTTTGATTCATAAAATTCAAATTGTTCTAAAGAACTTTTTACACAGATCAATAAATTTTTTAGCTACATTTCAAATTTTAAAACAACTTTTTATTTTTAAGATAGTGAACTAAAAATAGTTTTGAAATTTAAATATATTCAGTATCATATTACACAATTTTAATGCAATCGATAGTTTCATATTAGAAAATATATAAATAATAGGAAGCATCCTTTTAGTGTTATCTCTTGTATTAAAGGTTCATATATTTATCTAAAAGATTTTTTTGAATTACTTTATAATATTAATAATCAATTACAATCCAATTCACACATTTTTATTAGTATACCATACTTGAGATAATTTCAAATATCAATATTTACATTTTTGCGTTAGAATAATAATAAAAAACGATAAAGTGTTAAATATTCGTGTCGCATAGATTTAATAGCGTGAAAATTAAAAAATAATACATGTTTTTAAAAATTTTGATAAATAAATATATAGATTAAAATAAGTAATTCTCATGAAAAAACGAATATTTTACAATGGAAGTCAATTTCAAACAATATTATTTGATTTTGCAGTCTTAAAATTTTATAAATGTCTTAATGACACGTTTTGCTAAAATTTTATTGGCTATCTACGATTTAATCTTTTTAAATTTTTCTTCTTAAAATATCTTTAAAAACATTACAACGCTAATAAAAAACACAAATAAAATCATAGAAAAAAGGTAATCTTTAAAATTTATAACAAGAAAAACCTTGAAAAACTTTACAAATATCAAATAGAAAATATGATTTCTTAAAAAAATATTTTTTTTCAATACAACACAAGCTAAAAAATTAAATACAAACAGATTCTTATATACAAACCCAAAATACTAATATTTTTTACACCTTATAAAATAAGTTTCATGCAACAAAAGTAAAATTATTTAAAATATACATGAATTAAATTAATAGTTTTGTGTATTTATGTATAGTGATAAAACAGTAAAAAACACATTATATCAACATTTTTCTAATAATTTTTCTTTCTTAATATATGCTAGGTGTCTTTCTCATTAATTAATAATTCTGCTAAAGTATTTTACAGTAGTCAAGTTAAATATAAATATTCATATTTTCAATAAATATAGATAACAAATGTGTTAATTAAGATACAATATACAATATACAATATTTTTAAAATTTTTATGTATATAAGATATTGAAGTGTAATTATTAGAAATTTTTAAAAACCATTTAGGTGTAATTTTTATCATTTTTTGAATTTTCTAATTTTTAAAAATACAGAAGTTTGTAAAATAAACATAAACATACCATGCTCTTAAATGCGCTGATTCTCATGATATAACAAAAACCATATTTTTGTATAAATAGTCCTCTAAAGAGTCACATATCATATATCTATCATGAAATA